ATAAATATGTCTAGTGAATACAAATCAGAGGGTACAAAAGAAGCAATTTTTTAAACATGTATACCAGCAGGTCTTACCCTAAGGATGAGAAAACACAACACACATCACATCAAGGATATGAAGGTATATCCCATCTATCTCATGCTGCCTCAACTGCAGTAAGACAGTAAAATGGTGTGACTCTGTTTGTCCACTTAGGATTTTTGCATGGACTCCTGCAGAACTAGAATCACCTTTTTTCTGACACAACTATATAAACTTCAGTACTAATATATAGCCATTTCTGAGGTATGGGTGCTCCAGTCACACGAAAACCACAGGATTCTCTGCTGATTTGCATTAACACATGGATGCCAGCAGCATCTTAGGAAAGGAAAGGAGTTCTTTTTTTACACTTTGTTGGGATGCTCTATCTGCTGCAGACAGACAGAGGAAATGTAAAACTTCTGGATAGCTGCACAGAATCACAGAATCATAGCATGGCCCAGATTGAAAGGGACCTCAAGGATTATGAAGCTCCAACACCCCTTTCACAGGCAAGGACACCAGTCTCCATATTTAATACTAGGCCAGGTTGCCCAGGGCCCCATCCAACCTGGCCTTGAACACCTCCAGGGATGGGGAATCCACCACCTCTCTGGGCAGCCTGTTCCAGCACCTCACCACTCTCTGTGAAGAACTTCCCCCTGACATCCAACCTAAATCTTCCTCCCTCAACTAAACCGTTTCCCACTGTCCTGCTATCATCTACCATTTCAAAGAGTTGGCTCCCCTCCTGTTTGTTGGCTCCCTTAAGGTACTGGAAGGCTGCAATGAGGTCACCCTGCAGCCTTCTTTTCTCCAGGCTGAACAAGCCCAGCTCCCTCAGCCTGGCTTCGCAGGGGAGATGCATTAACCCTCTAAATGTCTTTGTGGCCCTCCTCTATACCCTCTCCAACAGCTCCTTGTCTTTTTTGTACTGGGGGCCACCGACCTGGATCCAGTTCTCCAGATGAGGCTTTACAAGGGCAGAGTAGAGGGACAATCACCTTCCTGTCCCTGCTGGCCACCCCTCTTCTGATGGATCCTTAACATTAATAATACGATTAGAGAAAATATATATATATATCTTTTCAGATTTTGATTTGGAAGGAGCCAACTTGTGACTCACTCACCTGACAAGTTGAGATTAGGTAAGTCATGGTATTGACCTTCCAAAGCCAGATCAGCCCAGCAGCCACAACTGCTATGGGCAGCTTCAGCCCACTACCTCCAGGAGCAGTGTTAGTAAGGGTCATGCTGTGTCACAGCCCCTGGTTTTCTTGCAGTATGTAGGGTACTGCCAGTATGCAAAGATGGACTCATAGAATCATAGAATCACTAAGGTTGGATAAGATCATCTAATCCAACATCAACCTATTAACAACATGAGGGAGACGAGAGGAAGTGCACAGGGAGATACCTGCACTAATAATGCTCTTAGACACACTTCTGTCAAAGCCTTGTGGCTGTGCTGAAGGAAGCATGGACTCACAGCCCATCTCACCAACCTGGGAAAGGTTTTAACTAATGAGCAAGGAAATGCTGAGCAAAGTAGCCAAGAGGTTACTCTACTGAGTTGATACACAAAAAAGGAGTCTTTCCAAGTGCTGAAGAGGGTACAGAATACAACAAAACAGAATAGCATAGTTCACTTGGAAGGGATCTACAAAGACCATGCCCAACTGTCCAACCTTTTCAGGGCAAACCAGAAGTATCTGCTAAATGGACATGAGTGCCCATATTACATGAGCACAGGCACAGTTTGGACTTGAGGAGAACCTGCCAATACCAGACTAAACATCAGATGGGTATTGGGGGAAAAAAAAAAAAAAAAAAAAAAAAGTTTATTTATCAGCCCCAGAGCTCCTCCTATTTTCAAAGGGACCAAACTGATAAAGTGTCCAATCTTTGGTCTCACCCTCCCCTTGCTCTCAGGAAAAACTTTTATTTTCCATGGTTACGTGTCTGCCTCATTAAGCAGCAGATCTAGCCCAATCTCCATACAGTGTAAACGCAGACGATTACAGAATTGCAACAAGGAAAATCACAGTGTATGATTACTGAATGGAGTAATAAAAGGCAGTTTATGCATAGCCTCAAAAAAAAATGAATAGCATTGTTAAACTGAATGCCAGGTACAACACTGATCATCAGATCTTCTCTTGACTCAGATTACTGTATGGTAGAATCTGGAAAACAGCAGCTTCCTTATTTAAAAAAAACAAAAACAAAAAACAAAAAACAAAAACAAAACTACAGACTGCTGCATTTCAGAAATGCCTGTTTCAACCTGTTGGCAAATGCTAACTTCTGACAACTATAGTACAAGTCTCCCTTTGTTCTGAGCTCTAAGATACACAGTGGGTGACTAATGAGAATAAGGAGTTGGATTTTAAAAGGTGCTTAATAATACCATTAGTTACATAAATAGCTTTTTCCTTAGAAATGTGCTAGCAAGCAACACTATGTGGTCATCAAGAGACCAGCTGTTAACAGCTGTGCACAAAACAATAGAAAGACAGTTACTATACAAATCAGTGTAATTGAACAAGACAAAAGGTAAAATAGAAAAGCTTTCGCTTCTAAGCAAAGGGAGAAGGCGTTGGGATAGGGGACACCAAGCATTAAAAATTGGTTATTTGATATGGAAAAGAATTTTTATTGTTTACACTGATGTCAGATAAGATGCCCCAACTTTTCATAAGCAAAAAGTAGTTTACAGTGCTCCTTCCACAGAGTAGTTTTCTGACAAAGCACTGCTTTTAAAAAATGCACGTTTCCTGCCTTTCCCAGAGCTATTTCTAGGAGAAGTTTTGCTTCCCTGTGGTAATCAGAAGTCCATGGATGAGTTCTGCCTTCCCCATAATCATCTCCCCAAAGCCAGCAAGCAGCAAAATAAGACTACATCTGAATATTTGCAGAGTGTTAATATGTAATCCCCAAAGCCCTTTGACCTTCAGTCATTTGCTGTACTGATGAGAGGATCACTGCTCCATGCCGTACTGAGGTGCCCCTTGATTATGCACTTCAGATCTCTGCAACACATATAAACACAGTCTTAATCCTGCCTCTGATGTCCTGTGCCAGAAATATGATCTTTTCAGGGGCATTTTCATAGGTATTTTTGTTCTCTGCTATTGCCAAGGGGAAGCTGAAAAATTGGAATGATCTCCAGATTTCAGGCAGACACCAAACCTTATGCAGAAATACAGTGTAATGTGGCTCTGCTGGTTCCACGTCCTGACGACTGTGCTCGTACAGTTCCTGTATTGAATTAACACAAGAATCCAAAATCATTCCCTTCTGTTAAATCTCATGTCCATGAGCACTGTTCTTAATAAGGGTCAGACAGCCCCTTGTAGACCTGTAGTGATAATAAGGTCAGGCTTCTTAAGGAAATTATTTTGCTGATTGAAGCATCTGTTCCAAAGCCTTGCCTCTGTTTTCTTTTCCTATCCCTCATCCCACCAACTTTCCTTGCAATGGGATGTCATCCCTATATGATTTTTACAACACTTCTGCATAAGAACACAAGGTCCTGCCTATCCAAATTCTTTGCTTTGCTGTAGCATGAAGGAGGAAGTTGTTTATGATCAGAGAGAAAAGGTGGGTCCAATTCTCTCTATACCTCTTTTGGAAATCACAGATTATCTTATAGCTCCAGGTAGTTGTAGAGGGATCTGCAAGCAAGTAGCAAAACACAGGGCTGTGACAAAAAAGCCCTGTGATTTTCAACTCAGGTTTCACATGAAAGATGCCCCTTTACTATAATACCTGGCATGCAGTCATATCCGGAGTGTCCCTCCATAGTAGAGGAGTAATGACTGTATCATCTTGTGGGACAAGCTCAAGAGCCTTCTGTTAGAATGCTTATCATCATTTAAGCCAGGGGCATGCAGCCATGCAGACAGGGATGATGTGGGAAGGACAGGGGAACGTAAGGACATCAGACAGAGAGCGGGGGGTTAGAGGAGACAGAGACAGCAACAGCAGCTCTCCTTACTGCTGTCCAAAAAAGTGAGAGGGAGAAGAACAATAAAAATACTACTTACATGCAGGTGGAAAGAGCTCTCCCTCTGCAGTCATTACATAGCAAACACTTACTGCTGGGCTTAAACTTACTTCTCATTCTCTCCTCTTTCGCACTCCCCAAGCATGTACGCATTCATCCACAGACATTTTCCTTCACAAGGACACTCCAAAGCTTTGGATCCCTTCAGTTTTTAAAACAACAAGGATTGTCCCCACACACCTCTGGATTAGAGCTATTTTCCTGCCTTTTTGTGTGCATTCACGCTTTCTCATATGGAGATGAAGTGAGCATCTCACTGCCTGACCATCACACCCACATCTTTAAGAAGATTTATTTTTCTTCTTAGAAGGTATAAAGACATAAGAGCAGTGTTTTTACAAACACGTATGTGTGTATATATATGTGCAGACATAGTTATATTGTTATTGCAATGATTCAGTCTGGCTTTAAAGCACTTAAGATGAACCTGCTGGACTACAGCAAGGCTGCTGGTCTTGGCTATCACACACCTCCCTGGCTTGCAGCTCTGCTGAACACGATGAGAGAGATTTATCTGTGGAGTGGGCAGAGACAGAAGTGTGTTGTCGCATGACATTTTTTTTAAAGGGTTATTAATTACCATGTCAACCTTAGCTGTGCGGCTGCTGCCCACTTTTATTTTGGAAGAACAGCCGTTCAGCACTCTTAATCACATCAGGTGCCCCAATCACTTCGTTTCCAAACAAGCTTTTAAAATATTATTCCTTATTCCTCATCTAATGCGATGCAGGAGAGGGAGAGGGTACAGTATGGCAGAGATGGGAAATAGGAGCCGGAAAACATGCTTGCCTTGAATTGTCATCACACTGCCGTTGGAAGCCGGAAAACTAGCAACAAACACTTGCACGCAAACACACAGCAGGCACACAGCACATCGATCGCGGGGAGTTTGCCAGCAGGCTCTTACCTGGGTTGTGCGGGATCCCTCCGCTCCCTCTCCCCTATTTCTGCCCCCCGTGGGGAGCGGCGGGGCCGGTGCTGTGGTGGGGTGACGGTGCAGGTAGGGGAAGGCAGGCGGCTGGCTGCAGCCTCGGCTGCCGGGCTCTGGCTCCTGCCAGGGCTGCTGCTGCTGCTCCTGATGATGCTGAGGAGGAGGAGAGCGGGTGAGGAGGAGGAGGATGCTGGCGATGATGCTGTTGCTATGGTTACCCAACTCCACGGCGGCAGCACCACTTGGCGCAACAGCTGCCCCAGCACCCTGAACTCCTTGTCACCCAAAGGGATAGAAGGACACGGGTGTGGAATATCACCCCACAGCCCCGGCAGAGGGATAGGGAGGGAGGGAAGCATGCAGGGCATTTGCTCTCTGGAGAAGTGTCGGGGCTCAGGGATGCCACGCTGTGTCCAAAATGGGTGCATGGAAATGAAGTCTATCTCTGTGAAGGTCGAACAGCATCTTCTGGGAGGCCAGGGGGTTATTTTGGAGGTGCTTTGCATTTTTGTAGGGAAGGGATCAAGTAGTAAAGTGGAAGAGGGAGTAATTTTCAAAGTTCTTGTTCTGATGCAAGTCGGAACTTTTTAATCATTTAAAACGAAGGTCAATCCTCTTTCTTTAAAACAAGAGTTAAAAACAGGACTTAAAAATAAGATTTTACCTCAGCACAAGCTGGAAAACAGGAAGTTCTGTATGAACATGAGAGAAAACTTATTTACTTTGCAGGTGACAAAGCACTGGAATAGGCTGCCCAGAGAGGTTGTGGAGTCTCCTTCTCTGCAGTGATTTAAAACCATCTGGACACTTTGCTGTGCAACCTACCATAGGGAACCTGCTGTAGCAGGGGGTTGGACTGACTGATCTCCAGAAGCCCCTTCCAAACCCTGTGATTGCACTCCTTTGCATAGGAAAATCCGCTTATGAGCCAACTCCTTGGGTGAGAAAGATCTGCTTCTAACCACAAAACACAGAAAAAATATTTCCAAAAGGAGCCCTCTTACACAGCCCAGGACATTTATAATTCATGCCTAATTACATGGAGCAAACAAGCTGAACTTCGCCTATCTCTAGGGATCTGAAAATAAGATGGGAAAAATCCAAGGTAGATGGGCTGCCACATGATCAAAATGTGGAGTCCTAACTGAGAGAGACATGTGAAACTGAGGCATTCAGTTGCCATTTATCTATGAAATACACATGTCACGAGGCTCTGATTTTGCACTGGAACATCACAAGATGCATCAAGGTCACAACAATCAAATAAATGTCACTTCTGTCCAGACATGTCAGTACAATGCTGCATACTGCTTATAAGCCATGACAGTTCTTTCCTGAGCTGGTACTGTTTGCAGGACACTGTGATACCCTGTCTAAAAACTACAAAAATAGAAAAATCACTGGTGGAACCTTTCTAAAGGGATATGCCAGAGCTGCCAGAGCTCTCTTTACAGCCTGGATGCCACAGAGGGCATTAACTTTTGAGCCCGAGGCAGCAAGGAGATGGCTGGAAAGTTTTTTCTATTAAATTAGTGGCTGCAGGATGTGTGCTGGCAGCACCTCTGCCTGAAGTATTCTAGAACATGGTGTGTGCACATCATGTTCATTTGAAGAGTCGTAATATTGTTCAAATAAAAGCATTTTCTATATATTTAATTGCTACAGGAATCACCCATCTGAGGAGCAAAATGCATCAGCTAGCATACATTAAATCCATCTTTCTTTGGGGTAACTTCTCATTTCTCAGTCTTTATATATCTTATAAGACTACTTACTATATAAACCACTGTCCCTATAAGGTTTTTAATTAATGCTTTAGGCAACAATTCTGATCCCCACTCAAAGACTATAAGGAACAGTAGTCTCAAAGGGCTTTTCTACCATTCAAAAGAGATGGAAGAAAAAATGTCATCTGTTTTAAGCCTTAGAAGAGGTGTTCATGAAAAATTAGATAGTATTGTGAAGCATTTCTCAAAAGCTGAGAAATAGTATTTGGGGTATGTATGGCCAAGGGGCTTCCCTGCTGTGATTTGGGATGCAAGGGGAGATGATCTCACTGCATAACTAATTGTAAGCAAATCCAAATAATCATCCCCTTAGCTGACAGCAAAATGCCCGTTTCTTATGAAAAGATCACTAAAACCTCAGACAGACTTTATTTCTGCTAAGTCAAGGAGTGTATTGCAAAATGTAACCACTGAGATATACATGTAATCATCTTGAAAGCAAGTATTTTTTACCTTTGCTTATAAGAGCTTTTTGTCGAAAGCCACATCTCTGAGTTATAAAAGAACATATGAGAAAAACTAGTCAGTCCCTTTGTCTTCAGATGCTTTAGATCAGTATGGCTGTGTTACACCACTGACAATCTGTCTACCTTAAATCTCTTGCTGGCTCTGGTCTGCAACAAGGAGGAAATATCCACCCCTAAGGACATGCAGAGCCCACTAAAACACATGGCTCCTTTACCTCACTGCCTGGTAACTGCAGAGTGCACACCTTCAGCTGTATCAAGGGAGTACAATATGGATGTAAAGCTTCAACATTAAATATATATATATATATATATTGTTCTCAGTCATGCAAGAAAGTCTGGAATGGTGGGAGTAGTGACTTGCACTAGTTCAGTAGGGAACTGAGTCATGTACAATATGTAAAGTGTTGATTTCAGAAGTAGCTATAGTTCTCTAAAGAAGGACCTATCCCTGCCATCTGTGACACAGCCTAGAGAAACGCCTGCATTTTCAGTCATAACTTTCATTTTTAAGGCTAGAGACTGTGGCACAGTTTCAAACCAGGAATTACAGACTTCTGAGGACACTGATGGTAATACACACCTATGTTCAGGCATCACAATTGTGTCTCCAGCCAAAAGAGGTAAAATTCTGTAACAAATCAGGTTAGATCATAAAATCATTAAGGTTGGAAATGACCACTAAATCATCTAGTCCAACAGCCAACCCATCCCCATCATGCCCACTAACTTTGTCCCTTAGTGCCACACCAACCCTTTTCTCAAACATCTCCGGGGATGGTGACTCCATCATCTCCTCGGGCAGCCTGTTCCAATGCATTACTATTCTTTCAGAGAAAAAAAAAATCCTAACATCCAACCTGAATTTTCCCTTGTTACTTTTTCTCTCCTCTGACATCATGACAGATCCCCAAGGCTGACTAAATAAGCTGTAAATATCTCAACCGCTCTGAAATAAAGGCAGTCCCAACCCTAACTCTTATTTGGAAGAGTTGCCTCAGCAAAACCAACCACCTGAGGTCTGATGTCTGCCAATGAAGGACAAAATAAAAATATTGGCACCAACACTTGATGTCACAGGGCCTGCACAGCAACAAATGTCGTATTCTAGATTCCTTGTGTAGATAACCTTAGATCTAAAAAAAAAACCCAGGAACTGATATTCCCATTAGGTGAAAATATGCTTAACAGATGTTCAATGGAGTAGTCTATGGTGCAAGGCCCAAGGTGAGTTGCAAATAATTTCTATACACTTTAGACTCCCCTTTGCTCCACTATCTTCTACTACTTGAACTGTAACATTATAGTTAGTCTATCCATTCTGGTAAGAACAGGATAATATATGCATATTTATATATATATAAAAATAATTGAATTAGATCAATAACATCAACTTCTCCTAGCAGCTAAATGTCAGTATATAAAACCGTACAAGATGAAACACAGGTGTGCAGGTTAAACAAATATAGAGTACAAGGAGGCAAGGGCATCTTGGGCAACTCACCCCACATGGCAGGGAAAGACTACAATATTAAGCTTCCACCTGAAGCACCCAGCTGGTTGCAGGCACAGGCTCCATACTGGTTGCAACACCTTTCCTCAAGTTTTGAGATATAGCACAGGAAAGCCTTTAACACCGCATTGTAGAAGTGCAACATCAATACCATGGATGGCAAGCAGATGATAGGCCCAAATGCATGCTTCAGGCAAGCAGCAGGATACTCAACTCAGTAGTTGATGCACAGAAAAAGCTGTTCATGTAATTAATTGAGATGTCAGTTTACCTCTTGGTTTTGATGCAGAGTTTCTATGGTGATGAAGCTTTCTACTTTTTACCATTTCAAGAAAAGATAAAGTCCAAGAAGAAGGTGCCTGGTCCAACAATAGACAGCACTTTCAAATCTCAGGGTTTTGATTTCATTTGGATCCTCTAGACCCTCTTGGAGCATCTGGATGACAAAGACCCTTTCAAGAAGGTTTGCTACAGCATTTTTTGAAACACTGACACAACAGGAAACACAGCCTCATATAATCTAGTTTCATGCTATGTAATAAAGAAGCAGTTACGCAAAGGGAGAAGGAGAAAAACAGGATAAGAAATCAGAGGAAATCTTTCATGCTGCTGTTCAATAAAATGTGTCCAGATTGGCTAACTAAGATGTATCTAAATTTGTTCTGTTGTAGTGGTGTAAGAGCCAATATAACTAATTCTAGAGGAGTATCAACGTGTAAACGTGTTTTTAAAATCATGCAGAATTTTTATATATCATACAGGAGAATTAAGGGCAAAGACTATAGCACTAGAAGAATAATAATCCCTTGCTCTATAAAGTATACTTCATCATGCAGGCATTCAAGTCCAGGCTGGATGTGGCTCTGGACAGCCTGGTCTAGTGGTTGGTGAGCCTGCACATAGCAGAGGAGTTGAAACTAGATGGTCATTACGGTCCTTTTCAACCCAGGCCATTCTGTGATTCTATGATTCTATGGTTTTACTCAGTTCTGAGTTTATACAAAATCTGTACCATGCAATATATGCAATTATTGTGAACACTTGGCTTGCTTATAGCTGTATCCCAGAAAATCTTCATGGACATACTCTTATACTTTTCATTACAAGTCTTTACACTTATCTCGTTATCAATCCACTGAGTCCTCATTCAGTTGCCACCGATTCAATACTTTTTTTCATTCTGTCATTCAATTAGAGCCCATCATCTTATTTGCTGCAGCAACCTTGTTAAGTCAACAGCCTAGAAAAATTTCCATTTACCCAACAGTGCTTCTGTTACCTGGCAGACAATTGGAAAGTTTGGAATACAGTTATCTCATTCACAGTTCTTAAGTACTGTATAACAGATAGAAAACCCAGAGTAAATAAATTAATCA